CTGCATTCATGGCTAAGAAGCTTTGCTATACAGAGAAGAAAAATGCGAATTCAAAAAGAAAAGAGCAAGTGTGTGACGCGGAGCTGATGGTGCAGAATGGTTTGGAGAGAAAAATCTCCACTCTGCAGCTAACTAGTTTGGACTCTACACAATTCTTGAGTGTTTCACTGACTTGATGAGTTGAGCAAGTGAGTTCTAAGTCACTATTCTGAAGACATCTTACTGTGAATTCGAACAGTTATCTCCTCTCCCTCCAAACCAATTTTAAATTTCTTTTTTTTAGAATTATTTTATTTAACTTTATTCATTCACTTATTTATTTAATTTGACCAGAGAAGGACAGAGAGAGAGAGGAGAAAGTGAGAAAGCAAGCCACCAGGAATGAGACTTGAACCACAGCCGCCCATGTGAGACTCCAGCGCCCTTAACCACCATGCTACCTGCCGGCCCCAACCAATTTTACATTTCTAACTTGGAGCTCTGAATTGATAAAAAACAGATGATGGGAATTAAAAGAGTTCCCTTTCTTCATGTTTCTCAGTTAAGTTTGGGTTTCCCTTTTGGGAAATTTGTGTAAATAGAGACCCAATTGGCTCTGGTCCCAGCCTCAGGAAACTAATTGCTCTGCCAGGCAGAGTGGGGGAAGCTTGTGAGAAAGGGCCTGGGAACAGTTTATCAATTAGACTTTTTTAAGGAGTAATCAAGTAGCACAGGAACAGCACAGCATGATTATCTGAACAAAGATAAAAGAAAGAAGGAGAGAAGAGCCAAGATTGGAAAATTACCATCTCAAATAACAGGACTGCTGTACTCTGACCACAGGAAACAGAGGGTAATTTGGAACCTATTTTGTATTATACAAAAGACTGTGTGAATTTGAAAACCCTTTGCATGTTGGGTTTGAGGAAATGAATTGAGAGAAATAAGCACAGATTTTTTTTTTTTTTAATTTCAATTTCCCCAGAGCAAGCCAAATGATTTACAGAAGGGCTCCAAGGTAGTGATTTCTTAACTTTTTGGAGTTATGGATTCCTTGAAGGTTCAGATGAAAACTTGTGCCTGCCTTCCCAGAAGAATACACTCACGCACATCGACCTAACATTTTGCATACTACATCTGGGATCTGATAAACAGCTTGGAACTCACCTGTGAGGTCCCTAGGGACACATACATTTGAGGGTAATAATGCTTCAGTTTAGGAGTGTTGTAGACAACCGCAGTAAGTGATAAATAATCGTGAAGCAAGGGTAGGGAGGAGAGGCATCTTGGATGCCAGGGTTTCCTCCAGCAAGCCATGGGAGATTGGGAAAGTTACAGATCAACCGACAGAGCAAGGTCACAAGGCTGGAAATCCAAGCAAAACGGCTGAAGAAGCTTGGGTTTTGGAAGAAACTCAGTCAGCACTGAATTCCCAGTTCTGCGACGGTTGAGCCATGTGAAGGTAAGCAAGAGTGCTTGCGGTCCTGCCTGGAACAGTGATCCCACTGGTGGCCTTGGCTTTTCTCCCTTTACGAGCAATACAGAAGCAGCAGATGATGGAGGAGAAGAGGGTCTGTGCTTCTCTGGATTTAAATCGCAGCTTCGACATTAATAGTAGGTGACATTGGGAATGTTACTCAGTTTCCTGAGTTTCTTACCTCTTATAGAGGCAGTGCTATTTTCTCCCATAGTGTATTATTTAACCAAAACTTTTCAGCTAAAAGTTGCTGCCAAAAGACACACACACACACACACAAAAATCCAACCAAATAAATAAACAAAAAATGTCTCTTCATCTCACTCTCCTTACGTAATGCCTCATCTTCAGTCTCCTTTGATATTTGCTTTTTCTCTTTAGATCTAGCTCCTACAAAACAATCTTTCCTGTGTCAAAACAGCCCTCTGGGAAGGGTAGACCTGTCTGACAACCTTTTTTTTCCTTTCTTGGGACCAAACACATAGAAGAATGGGGAACACATTTATTGACATCTTTACTCTATTACTCTTTGATTCTGTGACTGAGATGAGGAGGCCACTTCAGAAAAGTATTCCATTGATGCAGACATTGAATTCTGACCCTTGAATCCAGGACAACAGAGGTAATAGAGAAGGGAATGAGTTAGAAAGAAAATGTGGGAATCAGTGTTGACATAATGGCTGTGTTGCTGAATTCCCATGTAGTCGACCACGGATTGAGTTCTAGACCCAGTGGCTTAAACTCACGCTGGGCGCATGGGTGTGCATGCCCAAGATCCCGAGAGAAGAATGGAGGAGAAGGGATTGCTGCATGGCCATCCCCACTGGGGGGTGATTTCTTGCTTTCTGTCTCTCTGTCTCTCTCTGTCTTTCTGGCGAGCACAAGTGCCCTATAGCAAAAACCTCTCCAATAAAAAATATAAGAAAGAAAGAGTGAAAAAGAATCAATGACTAATTGGTATGGGAAATGAAGGTGGGTATAATTAAGGTCACTTCACATGGTTTATTCATCTGGTACACATTTTTGAATCTCTAAGCATCCTCTGTAAGGTGCTAAACAGCAAGGATAGGATGATACTAGTGATTATGTGGTGCGAAAAACAAAGCTCTATGTGAACTCAAAGTAAAGAACTGTTTCGTCCAGTTATGAGAATTGCCCTGGAGAAGTACCCTTTGAATTACATCTTGAATGATATAAAGGATATAAACATCTAAAAGTAGTGATGGACTAGAGTTACTGCAGGATTGAGGTAAGGCCTACTGGGGAAAGACTCTTAGAGCATCTCACCCCTAATGTTGTGTAAGATATAAGACTGAAAGGTTTTTAGTTTTCCCAGAGTTGTTGCTGTTGTTGTTGTTGTTCTTCTTCTTCTTCTTTTCTTCTTCTTTTTGGTAGAGGCTTTTGACTTAGGATGCATGTACTCATTAGAGAGAGAAAGAGAGAGAGAGAGACAGAGATAGTGAGAGGGAAAGTGAGAAATCACTCCCCAGGAGGAATGGCCATGTCACAATCCCTTCTCCTTCATTTTCTTCCCATGATCTTGGGAATGCATGCACACGCACCCGGTGTGAGTTTCAAGTCACTGGGTTGGGAACTCCAACCGCAGTCAGCCACGTGGGAATCCAGTGATATAACCACTATGCCATCTGCTGGCCTCTGTTTTTCCAAAGGCTTCTTGGGTGATGGAATTGCACTTTGAGGAACCTGGACCGAGTTCCAGCAAGTGAGGAGCTTCCCAGTCTGGGAGTCTTCCCCAAGCTCATAGGTAGGTATATATGGTGTGTGTTGTCCACGGTGTTGCTTTCAGAGTGCTGGAGTCTGAAGTTCTGTCTTCAAGAAGGGCGGAGAAACCCTGAGGCAAAGGAGCACGATCAGCCCTGTTCCCCTCCACTCTCAGTTTTGTCTTATGTCTGAGGCTGACATGTGTTTTACACTCACTTTCTTAAGCAAAATCTTCCTAACTTCATTTTGAATCACATTGACATTTCTTCCTGTATCTTGATCACAGTCCTGGAGGATTGTTGTTTCTGAGAAATTCATATCCAATTCCTGCCTGAGTTTCTCTCTGAACATCATTCTCACACTCTCAGAACAGAGGCTTGGATGGTTCATGTGTGATCACGCTAAGCTGCTATTAGTCACTCCTGGGAACTGAATTTGGTTCAAGTCCTGAAGCATTAATTGGGACTTAGTGCTGACAGATTGCTTTCTACTCCAAAGTCAAGTCTCTTCTGTTATACAGGAAATGGTAAATAGGTCACAAGAAAGACAAGACTAAGATCAGCAATCATCAACATGCAGGTATTGAAGCCAAAGAGGAAGTTGATGGAGTCCTTGCCAGACCTTCTGGCCAAATGCACATTTGCCAGGGAAGACTGTAGGATGGTGTCATTGACAATGTGGCTGGGTGGCAAACTTTTTCTGAAAAGATAAGAGTGGGGTGTGACTTTTTAAAATTTGGCATTGACTAGGGGAATGTCTACAGGTGATGGAGATAATTTTATCACATCCAGAAACTTTTAAGGGTTTTTTGGTACCAATATCAAGTGAGAACATTTTTTAAATTAATTTTTTAAACTAATTTCTTAATTATAACATTTGCCCCTTCTCTATTTCTAGAATACATTTTCTGCCCTTAGCTAAGGAAATGTTTCAGACAAGTTTTGAGATGAAAGTGAAAATGAAGTGAATGAACTTTATTTCTTCTTTTGTGTAAAATGTCCTTTGTCTGACTCCCATACTCCATCACCTTCTTTTTATTTTTATTTTTTTTTTAGAGAGAGATTTTTTTGCTACGTACTTGCTAGTGAGACAGAGAGAGAGAGAAAGAGAGAAAATGAGAAATCACCCCCAGAGGGAATGGCCACAATGCAATCCCTTCTCCTCTACTCTCCTCTCGGGATTTTGGGCATGAACACACAAGAGCCCAGTGTGAGTTTTAAGCTGCTGGGTCTGGGACAAGAACTGTGGTTTACTATGGGGAGTCCTGTGACATAACCATTATGTTATCTGCTGGTCCCTCATCTTCTTTTTTTTTTTTTTTTAAATAGAGGTTTTTGCCTTAGGGCATGTGAAAGAGAAAGAGAGAAAGAGACAGTGAGAGGGAAAGTAAGAAATCACCTCCCAGGGGGCATGACCATGCTGCAATTCCTTCTTCATTCTCCTTCCGGGATCTTGGTTCTGGTCTCAAACCATGAAGTTAGTCATGTGAAACCCAGCTGCCTTAACCACCACATCACTTGCTGGCCTTCAGCTTTCTTTAACTTTTTATTCCTCCCTTGGTCCTGGTCACACCTTAGAGTGGTTAAAAGTAGTCAGTTACACTTGACTCGTCTCTGGGGGTAGGTTCTTTCTTGGAAAACTTGGTATGATACAGATGTCTGGAAAGATTTGACAGTTGTCACTTATGAATCTCTACCAAGGGAAGTAGTCTTCAGAAAAAGTAGAAATATTTCAGTAGATACTTATACCCAATCATCTTGACAGGTGTATCTTGTTGGTTGACCTTCATAAAAGTTTCTTAATTTGTTCTAGTGATGCTGTACTAAATATTATTCCAGTAGAGACTACAGTTTTTCTGACCTATCTACCATTACTCACTCAATTTCCCTTACATATGGCAAGCTTATATTAAGGTTCATGGGGCAGAGGCAAGTCAAGAAGCCCACTTGGAAATGGATCCAAAGCTGTGGGCTTATTAGTGGTAGCTACTACTATATCAACCCATCCAACTCTAGTAGCAGTAGAAAGAGCTTTCTAACGGAGCCAGTGATTCACTTAGCCTTCCTGAACTGACAGACAGAGTAAGGCTCTTAGCTTGAGCTTGAGGGCATGGTAGAACATTCTAGCTGCTTATCCAGTTCTATCACTGGGTTTACTCCCAGCCAACACCTGTGAGCACTGAAGAAATGGTGCCACAAATGGTGATGTGTGTAGTCGGAAGTGACAAGGTAGCTTAGGACTTGCCTAATTTCTACCGTGAAATGATAGGGTGACTAAAATGGTGCGAAACACAGTCACAAAAAATAACAAGGTTCAAAATGGGTGCTTACTAGGGTCAGAGCATGACAAAAGGCAAGAAAGCATTTATAAGCTTAGTGGTTAAACTGGCTTGTTAGAAGCTGTTTGAAATCATAGGGCCATAATTCTGTAAGACTTTATAATAATTTCTTCTTAATGAGTAGAAATGAACTTGATAATGAATAAGTTCTCTGAAAGAATTGTTTTATATTATTGAACCATGTGATATTATTCCCCAAAACAATTCATAGTGGAAGTATTTACACATTCCCCATTTTATGATGGAGATGCTAAAACCCAGAGAACACAACTTGTCCAATCACACAGAAACTTATTGTTCTATTTAATTAGTCATTCTTTAGCCTTCACTAGACAAAGTAATTTGTGTTTCTGAAATTGTTTTATGAATATATTTTTTTAACCTACTAAAGTAACACCACAATTACATTCTCAGAAAATTTACTAGCCATGAAAGCTCTTTTTGATTAGTGTTCATCTATTTTATCCTAAATGTCTCAATATAAGATAAGTTACTAATGTTCTTTTGGAAGAGTTCCATGTCTTCTAGGGCCAGCCACAAAGCTGAAAGGGCGGTAGAAATTTCAAAGGTCAACTGTAACATTTTCAAGGTCTGCTATGAGCTATTCTAAGAAATAAAGTCCTTCTTTCTTTCCTGGTGGCATTTTTTTTTTTTTTTACCAGAAAGTACCCAAACTATGAATAAAAGCAGCCTTTTAAAGTCACATTCCTTTTTTAATTTTTTCTTTAATTTGCTCTAAGGTGTGTGCACTCACTGGAGAGATAGAGAAAGAAAGAGGGAAGGTGAGAAACTGTTCCTAGGGGGAATGAACACACCTCAATTCCTTCTCCTCTATTCTTCTCTCAGGATTTTGGTTATGAATACACATGTGCCTGCCATGTTCATCAAGTCACTTGGTTCTGGACTTGAACAGTGCAGTTGTACATGTGGGATTCAACCCACTTAATCACCATGCCACTTGCTGGCTCTAAAGTCCTATTTTGAAGTTCAATTTCCTTTATATATCAAGAACTTGGCTCTTTTTATATATGATTTTGAAAATTTTTTTCTTATTATAAAGGCAATATGCGCTTACTGCAAAAAGCTGGTAAGTATGAAATGTGAAAATAAGAGGGATGAATCGCCCTCTAGCAGAGATTTCTGTTTCCACATTGGTGAATTTTTCTTTTGTCCTTTAAAAAATGCATGAATATAAATATACACAGTTTTCATAATGAGTTACAGACAGGTTACAATGCTGTGCTCTACCAGTCTCATTACCATTATGTCATTAGTATTTTCTCCTTGCATAAAAATGCTTCAAAAATTATTAAATAGCAACACATTATTCAACCCTATGAACTTGCTATTATTTTTTTTCTTTCTTGCTATAAGGCATATGAACTTGCCAGAGGCAGACAGAGAGCGAGAGAGACAGAAACAGAGAAAGAAATGACCCCTTAGGGGGTATGACCACCCTACTATCTCTTCTCTTCCAGCCTCCTCTTGAGATTTTGGGCACGCATACACATGCCTTTCATTATGATTTTTGAAGCTCTGGGTCTGGGACTTGAACTGTACAGCCCATAATGTGGTATCTGGTGCCCTAACGTCCATGCCACCTCCTGGCCCCTATCCAATAATTATTTTAATAATTATTCTGTAATGATTATTTTTTGAATTTTGCCAGAGGGCACGTGTGATTAAGAGAGATGAAAAGAGAGAGAGAGAAAAAGAGAGAGAGAGAGAGAGAGACAGAAAAAGTGAGAAATCATCTCCAATGGAGGATTACCACGTCACAATCCTTTCTCTTCCATTTCTCATTTCTTTAGGTTTTTTGCAGCAGGCATGCACATGTACCTGGTGTGCTTTTCAAGCCATTGAGTCCAGGACTCTAACCACGCAGTTGACCATGTGGGATCCCAGTGCCTTACTGCAGAGCTACTGATTGGACTAAATATTATTAAGTGTTTAGGTCTATATTTTTTTTTCCTATTTTAGTTGTGCTGCAATGAATAGTCTCATATGTTTCATTTTGCAAACATTTCTTATCCTATTCTTTTTTATTTAAGAATTATCTTATTTAATTTTATTTATTACTATTATTATTACGTTTCAGTTTGATCAGACAGAGGAAGAGAGAGAGAGAGAGAGGGAGTGAGACAGCTAGCCACCAAGTCCAGGACTTAACAGTAGTCGGCCATGAGGGAGTCCAGCGACTTCAACCACCATGCCACCTGCTGGCCCCTTATTGTACTCTTAGTAGGTGTGGATTGCCTTAAATAAGTGATATATGGAAATAGAAGCAAATATACAGCTGGACCTTCTTCTACAGAAGCATAGGAAACTTAAAACACCTTAAATCAGAGGACTTAATTACCATGCATGATCAGGAGCATGCCAGCATGCTGACCTTTTAGCTGGTGTCATTTGCATTACCAATTGGGAATTCTTGGCTCTAACCTGGAGCTACGTGCTATGGAGGAACATAGAACCTCAGCCTGTCAATCTGCCTTGATTGAGCAGCATTCCTTAGTAAATTATTCTCTGCCTAGTCACATAATTCTTATAGCTGGCTCCTTCATGCCAGCTTTGAGAAAACATGCAGGGGAATTTTCACATTTACAATAGGGAGCTACCAAGATTTCATCATCAGAGCAATAACTCAGTTACATATTTTAAATCTCTGATCTGTTAAATAAATATACTCAGTACCTAGAGGCTCC